TGCCAACCAGCCATCAGGATCCCAGGAAGTGTCCCCAGTGAGACAAGCAACAGTTTCTACAGAGATCAAATTCTCCAGGATGCTCCAGGAAACATTTATAGGCGAACAAGCCTGAGCCAACTCCTGTTCTATAACATCATAAAGATGGTATTCTGACAATAAAAGCCCATGGATCTTGCTGTTCTTGCTGTGGTTGTTTAGAATGGTTATTGCCCCTGTCGGTGAGCATAGTGATATAATTTTAAAGCCTCATTGCCGCTCCTTCAACCAGATAATTGCAGACCCTTCAGAATCATGCCTTACTTACTTTTGCACATCTCTCCTAGCTACATTGGTATGTTGCACGTATTAGATACTTGATAAAACATTTGTTGGCTGCATTTTCCTACATGTCTAAATTTAGAGAAACAATTCTAAGAAGAAGCCCAACTGTATTAAAAAGAGACCATTTGGGTTCTGATATTTTCTCACTAGTTATCTGGAGAATTAAACTTTGTGATCCTCACTTGTAATACCTGCAAAATATAGTTAAATGGGACTTTACTCACTCTAGTTTAGGAAGTTAAACCAAAACTGTAATCAGGTGGAGACAAAAATGGAACCGACTTTGAGAACGTGGAAGCAATCTACATTAGGGTTTGGAGGAACTAGATGCTAGTCTTGCATATTTCATTAAGGTGATGTATAACTGTGAAAACTAGAGAATGTACTTATATATTAACATTTACTTCTATTTACGGAGATTTAAAAGAACAAAACCTTCAGAACAAATAGGACGCTAACCTCATTCATTCAGCGAGAGACTGACAAATTGTTCCCCGTCACTTTGGACCCACAGATGGTGGACATCTTTGACCTTAACCTTATAGGCAAACATTAAAAGTGTGGGAAATGCATGGCTAACATAGAAGAGCTTAGAATACCTCGGAAAGAAATCACAGGAGAAAAGGACATATCTTTAAAATTTAGGTCAACAGTTGAATAAAGTCAATTTCACATTCCTATTCCATGATGTCATGAAATTGATCTAAGTATGTTCTCCTTTCCTAAATAATATTTTTAATGATCAAGAAAAACTTCAGATAAGAAAAATAAGGAGTTATATAAAGCATTTTACTGAGACATGTAAAGCAGTGGATGAGAAACTGAAGAATTTCTTGAAAATGATCACATGTGCACACCTCATTGCTAAACTCAAGCAGAGGAACGTTTCCCTGAAGATTGAAGTAAAATTTTAACAAAGTAAAACACAAAGAGGAGGCCAGAGGGAGATGTGGAGGAGTTTGCAGAATAACTTTAAAAACTTCCCCTTTCCCAGACACACATAGCAACTGACTTTGTACCATGCTGAAATCTAGTTTGATCACTATGAAAGGTCAAAGTTTTGCCAAACCGGACTTTCAATATTGGTGTGAGAATTCTGGAAGAAAAAATAATAATTCTCAGCAACCTTTCAGCATCAGTTTACATACAGCATAAAATGACTCAGCACAACAATGAAATCTCCAGAAACTTTAATTTCTGCAGTGTACTTTTCCCGGCACTCTTACCACTGCAAACTAAAATTCAGGCTAGAGACAGATAATGCTAATATTCTTCCACCAGAGGGTTGGATTTTGATTGGTTTACAAAGTAGACACTGGGGAGCAAACTAATGAACTTTGACAACTCCTTATTACAGCAAGTAAAGGAGTATTTCCTCAAAGGATCAGCGTGTGGCTATCCCTTAGGAAAAAAATATAAGCATGGAACAAAACAAACAAAAACTAAAGTGTTGGTAGGGCCAAGACTCTGCCTGTAGCAATGCCAACTTGCCAAGGTTTCTTGGATCGTTGGTGCAGTCCTATGCTGCAGAAGTCTGCGCCAGTCACATTGTCAGATCCACACTTCTGTCCCCAAACTGGCACTGTTGTCAAATGATGTTACCCAGGGAACAATCCCCTTCCTAAAAGAAGCTTTAATAAAGATAGTGCCATCTCTTTAATGAAGCAGGACTAATGCAAGAAAGTAAAAAGAATATTAGTATTCTCAGGGGAAACTGAGAACATATGGCATCCATAAATCAAGGGCAAGATAATACAACAATTGCATCAACAAAGAATCAAAGGAATTGAAAATCATAAACCTTGAGACTTTAAAACATTCCATCTAAGGAATGAAATTCAAGAAACAACCCACACACATGTGCCCTCTAGTCAAACTTCTCTCCAAAAAAATTACAACTGCAACAATAAAACTAAAATAGCAATTAATATTTTAAATAGGGATAGCTGATGAAAGCAAGCTGCTTTTTAAAATATCAATACAAGAGAAAATCTCTTGGAAATATTCCCAAGAATAAAGAAATGAGTGTTTAAAAAGAAAAATCCATGGGGGCGGGGGATTTAGCTCAGTGATTTCGCCTCCTGCTGTGCAAGCGCAAGGACCTGAGTTTGATCCCCAGGACCAAAAAAAAAAAAAAGAAAAAAATCCACAACAGCAAAATCTTCAGACAAGAGAATTGTAAATTTGAGCCCAGCCTGGGCAACTTAATGATTCAGTGAGACTCTGTCTCAAAATAAAATATAAACAAACAAACAAATAAATAAATAATAAATGAATAAAGAAATAGGGGATGTAGTTCAGTGCAAAGGCTGTGCATTTAATCCTCAAAAAAGGAAGGAGGGTCTGGGATGTAGCTCAGTGGTGCCCTGTCTGTCTGGTAAGCACAATGTCCTGAGTTTGATCCCCGGAACTAGAAAAAAAGGAAGTAAAGAAAGGAGGAAGAAAATGTACAGAAATAAAGTATACCGTTATATTTTCTTAGAAAGTATAAATGATCAGTCTCATTTCATAAAAGATTTAGAAAAACTAATGAGACCGGTAAAAAGGGCAAGAGACTCATAAGACTTCAAAGGTAAATCTCAGCAAAGGCTCGGACTTTTCATTTGTTTTTGATCCAGAGCATCAGAAAATAGGAGACTCTTCGAATGCTTTTCATAAAGCTACTATAACTCTAATACCCAATGATGATGGTATAAAAATTATGAAAGATAAATATCACATAGACATATAGATGATTTACTAATTTCCCATAGGTAAGTAGTAGCTCATAAATTACAACACAGTTAAAAGTATGATATATCGTAAAGTAGTATTCATTTGTTTCAGGAATGTAAGTATAGTCCAATATTAAGGAAATGTAGTTATGTAATTCATTCCATTACACATTAATGGAGAAAATTATAAAAGCTAAACTAAAGTTATAAAAGCTAAACTAAGTCACTGAGCAAAATTTAAGGATTCATTACTAAGGATTCATTACTTCTTTCCCATCTACTTTTGTCAGTGCTATTTGTTAAAAAATATATACATAGATATATAGATATATAAAAATAAAAAATATATAAAAATATATAAGATACATAAAATATATAGTATATAAATGATATATATGACATATTAAAATAATATATATAGATACATAGAGAGAGAGAGAGAGATTAGCTGTTGTGATAGTTACCTGATTGTGTCAACCTGTGTAAGAAACACTCAGCAAAATTGGCTCAGCACAGTTCTGCATGCAGAGCACCCACCCTAGGGGGGACTGTTCCGGAGCGGAATAAAAGGGAACTGAAAAGGAAGGCTCTCTTCTGTTGTTCAGAGGAGCTCCAGCCTCCACTTTCATCTTGGACATCATCTTCTGGCTTCCAGCACCGACCCCTCAGCCTCCAGCACTGACCCTTCAGCTTCCTGATGGGTACTGCCACGGAACACTACAGTGAGCTCCAGGCCTTCTACTGGGTCCTTTGGATCCCCAGTGTAGAGGCAGCCCTTTTATACTCTCCCACCTCTGACTCGATGGGCAACCACTATAAACCAATCTTATTTTTATATATTTGTATATCTTGAATTAAATCTGTTTCTCTAGTAAGCACTGACTGATATACCTGTAGAATTATTGAAATTGAAAAATATCATATGAAAATTATCTAATTGGAAGGATGAAAACTATTAAGTCAAAAATTTTAAATAAAATAGATTACTAGCTGCCAGATATCTCTTTTAAAAAATACAAAAATAATGCATTTAACTAAAAATAATATATCACATTAAAATATACTTAAAATTCTGTTCAATATCAAGCTCTAGTTCACATGAAATTCACAATTCTAAGGCAAAATGTTTGTTAAAGAGTATAGATTTGTTTCTTTGGGGGTTTTTGTTTGTTTTGAGACAGGGTCTCACTAAGTAGTTCAGGCTGTCCTTGAACTCATGATGTAGTCCATGGTGGCATCAAACACAGGGCAATCCTCCTACCTCACCCTCCCAAGTGCTGGGATTGTAGGCATGTGCCACCACACCTGGTGCTAAAAAGTATAAATTTAAGTATGCGCGCACACACACACACACACACACACACACACACACAAATATTGAGTAAATGGTAAGATAGATCTTGTACCCCCAAAAAAAGGCACTGCATTTTGTAAAGGTATCACTTGACAAAATTTTTCCATAAATTCAACATGAGCTCATTCAAATTTTCTATTGTAGGTTTTGGAAATATTTTATCTTTCTTGTTGTAATGTTAACAAAAAAATAGTAAATCATTAATCAATGGCACAAACAAACAAACACACAGTGTTTAAGGTAGCCATTTAAACATCTACATCAAACCATGGCATGTCCCTCTTACAGTACTCCCATGGTTACTGTTTGCTTCAGTACAAATTCTTTGCCATAGTAAGACAAGACTGTACCTCCTATCCCCAGCTCTTCCCTATGTTCCTCACATGCACACACATGCTATAATCCCCTCCTCTCATGGGGTTAACTCAATACCAGGGATATGGAGATGTCCCCATCTTCATCCTTGGAAACTATGAATATATTCAGTTTTATAACAATGTAATTGCAGTTGTACATGGAATGAGGCTGCTCATCAGCTGACCTTTTTCAAGAACCCCCTGCATGCAACAGTCTTGTGACATTTCATCTGATTTTTTTATGAAACTTACCACAATTCGAAACTACATTTCTCTCTTTGTTTGCTTGGTATAACTTGTTTCCTTTACCAAGTTCTATGGCTCTGTCTTTCTTGCTACATGCTGGATACCCAAGTCCTCACACAGTGCCTAAGATAGACAAAAAATTAGGTGAATAAGTAAATGTCCTATGAAGTTACAAAAAGGAAATCATATAATTGCATATAAGAATGAGTATATATCAGCTGATAAGATGAAAACCCAGAGCCAGAAGCAAAGACTTTTATAACTTCAACGTTCAATAGAAACTTTATATAAAAGCTATGAGTAAAAAGTTGACTCGCTAATTAATATCTGTATATACAAATTAGAGTAACTGTTTAAAAATTTGTGATATCCTGCTATGCTCAAAAAAAAATGAAGACGGTGAATATTTAAATGTAAAAAAATATTTTTATAACTTTAGAATTTTAAAAATCCAAGTAAATATAAATAAAAACAGTTTAATATTTTTCATTCATCAATTGACAAAAATCAAGATAATAGCTGAATATGGAAGGGACCAGAAATTCTTGACCATTTAAAGTGATCCATCGGTACAATACATTTTACAATACCTAACATTCCTTCCCTACGAAGCAACAATTCTACTTTTAGTGATCCCATACAAATTTACTCAGATAAATAGATAGAATAATCATTGCATTAGTGTTTATAATCATAAGAAGGGAAGATTGTCCAAAAGGAAGAGAAAAGAAGAAAGGAAGGAAGGAAGGAAGGGAGGAAGGAAGGAAGGGAGGAAGGAAGGAAAGGAGGAAGGAAGGAAGGAAGGAAGGAAGAAAGGAAGGAAGGAAGGAAAGGGAGAGGGAAGGAGGGGGGAGGGGGGAGGTGTTGGGAGCAATTCTACATAATTTTGGAGGAAAAATCATTTCACAATTAAAATTATGATGAGACCGAGTTCTCCTGCCTACAGGCCAGCTGTGGCATGTCAAGACA